GCTGGAAGAGCCCCGAGCACCCAGGGGTCTGGCACTGTAGGAGAGGTGAGCACCCAGGAGACCCACGTTGAAGCTGCCGCACGCTAGAGGAGCCACTCCAGCTGCAGGAGCTGGGCACTGGGGAAGCAGTGTGGGCTGCAAGAGCTGGAGAGCCTCGCCTTGACATAACACAAAGTACCACACTGGTCTACTACGTGGACAACAGGGTGCTGACTGGACCTGAGGAACAAGAAGTAGAAGTACTTCAGATGCCTCCGTAAGACACATGCCAACAAATGGATGGAAGACAGACCCCACAAATTCATGGGCTCCCAATCTCAGTGAACTTCCTGGGGTTTAATCATTTGGAACAGAAGTTAGCAAACTTCTGTAAAGGTCCACAGAGTAAATATTCTGGCTTTAGGGCAATATATTGTCTCTTTTTTTCCCCCAAACACTCGAAAATATAAAAAACATTCTTACCTCACAGGTCACACAAAAACAGACAGCTAGCCAGATTTGGCCTACAGGTCATAGTTTGCTGATTCCTGGTCTGGTGCATGTTGAGATAGCCTCCAGATGAATATAAGTTTTCCACAGTGCACCATCTACCAGGCAAAGAAGCACAACACTGGGGTGGGCCTTTTTGAATTTTGGAGGCAACACATTCCACATTGGCATATGCTACTTTGACCCACCTATAGAGTCACATGTAAAGCTGCCTTGAGAGGAATCGGAGAAAGAGAAGGCTCTAGAGCTCAGATCTTTCAGGAATAAAGGTTTGATCACTCACCAGGTAAAAAAAACAACCATCTAAGGCTTCAGCGGAGGGCAGAGGAAATACAGAACAGGTAGTGGAAAGAAGCCATAAATGTCAATTACGGCCTTGTGGACAACTACAGGAACAAGGACTGTAGTAGTCTTTATATATGCTTATTATATGTATGTATTTATGTATGTTAGCAAATTTTCTTCTCTCTCATTCCCACTTTCATTTTATATACAAGTTGTTGGAAGTTAACTTTACAATTTAGTCTTCAGGCAACGGAATATTCAGTGGGACTATGGATGATTTTGAAAAGTAATACAGTCAGAAATAAATGGCTCTTGGGATTGTGCATCTGCTCATTTTGGGAAAGAGTAAAAACTTGTTTACTTGTAAGGACAGCTCTATCTTGTTAGGTAGCCAATGGGTCAAAAAAGAAATCACAAAGAAAATCAGAAAATATCTTGAACTGTATGAAAATGAAACACAACATATCAAAATTTGTGGGATGCTGCTTAAGCAGTGTTTAAACAGAAACTTCTAACTTTGAACAACTGCATTAGAAAAGAATAATGGTCTCAAATCAGTAACCTAAGATTCTACCTTAAGAAAGTAGAAAAAGAAGAGCAAATAAACGCATAGCAAGCAGATGGACAGATATAGTAAAGATTAGAGCGGGAATTGATTAAATAGGAAACAGAGAAATGGTAAAATCAATGAAAGAAAAAGTTCGTTATTTGAAAAAATAAACAAACTTAACAAACATTTAGCTACATTGATCAATGAAAAAAAGAGAGAAGACATAAATTGCCAAAATCAGAAAGGGAACAGGGGCCATAATTACTGACCCAATAGATATTGAAAATGAAACTCTTCAAAATAAAGCTGAAAAAGAAGGGCAACATTTGTACACTGAAAATTACAAAACACCGCTGAGAGAAATTAAAGATCCAAACAAACAGAAAGACATTTATGTTCATGTTAAGATGGCAGTTCCCCCCAAACAGATCTAGAGTTGATGCAGTTTCTCTCGAAATCCATCACAGCAGGTTTTTTGGAAAAAAATGACAAGCTAATACTAAAATTAATACAGAAATTAAAGAATCCAGAATAACCAAAACAATTATAAAAAAAAAAGAAAAACACTAGAAGACTTATATTGCCCAATTTCAAAATTTACTATAAAACTACCATATCAAGACAGCGTGGCGCTGGTATGAGAACAGGCATACAGATCCCTGAAGCAGAAATGAGAGTTTAGAAATAATTTATGGTCAAGTGATTTTTGACAAAAGTGTCAAGGCAATTAAGTGGGGGGAAAGGACAATTTTTTTTGCCAAAAATAGTCCTGGGACAACTGGACATCCACATACAAAAAGATGGGTGCAGACGTGTCTCTGCTCATCAAGCCATGCTGGGGCAGCATCCCACATACCACAACTAGAAGGACCCACAACTAAAAATACACAACTATGTACCAGGAGGCTTTAGGAGAAAAAGGAAAAATAAAATCTTTAAAAAAAAAAAAAGCAGCAAATCAAGTGTCTATCAACTGATGAAGGGATAAATGAAATGTGGTATATCCATACAACGGGATACTATTCAGAGACAAACTGAAACATACTACTGACACATGCTACAAATGGATGAATCTCAGAAACATTACACTAAGTGAAAGAAATCAGACACAGACAGCATTTGTTTATGAATCCATTTATATGAAATGTCCAGAAAAAGCTAATCTATAGAGAGAGAAAGCAAATCAATGGTTGCCTGAGGCTGAAACCCAGAGCTAGGATTAACTACAAACCTGGAAGTGCAAACTCGTTAGGGTGACACAAATGTTCTAAAATTGAATTGTGATTATCACTGCACAATTCCAAAATCTACTAAATTTACTAAGAATCACTTAATTCAGGGTATATAGTTTCATAAAGGTGATTTCCATACAAATCTGCTTTATTGTAACTAGAGAAAGGTATCAGGAAGATTATGGATGTTCCTATATTAGAGATCTCAACAAAGAAATGATTTCTACATACCCAGCAGTCTACAAAAAGCCTAAGAGAATGGACCAGATAACTTTGCGAGGTTTCTCCAAACTGAGTCCAAAAAAAGGTCTGATATTTAGTAAATAAAATGCTCAAGATTTGCATTATCTAATTTTTCTGATGAATTTTTAAGTTTTTCCTTCTTTCTACTACACTTTTATTAAAACACTGCAAACTCAATGTACTTCACCTACACGTGTTCTTTTTTTTTTTAAAGATTTTATTTTTTCCTTTTTATCCCCAAAGCCCCCCAGTACATAGTTGTATATTCTTCGTTGTGGGTCCTTCTAGTTGTGGCATGTGGGACACTGCCTCAGCGTGGTTTGATGAGCAGTGCCATTGTTCGAACCAACGAAACACTGGGCCGCCTGCAGCGGAGCACGCGAACCCAACCACTCGGCCACGGGGCCAGCCCCACGTGTTCTTTCATATTAAAAAGTCAATGATTCAGGATCCATAAACAATAACAGAGAATACACACACCCCAGCCTAAAATAAAATTTTATACTTCCATTTGGTGCTGATTTTGAGCTTTATTTGAGGTTCCACCACTACCAACCTTGGATCTGCCACACCTGAGATTTCTCTGATGCACTCTGGGGCCTAGGTACTCAACCCAACCTTCCACCAGCCAAGCTGGCCTCCCTGTAGCTGGTTTTCATAAATACAAAATTTGTATAATTGTTAGTGGAACTACCTGCTGAAATACGGAACTGGTTTAAAATACCATTTATTTTAAAACGTACATGCACAGTTTCGCATACATGAAGCAACACATCTTCCACACCCAGCCAATCAATCAAGGTAATGGTTTTCATCAGAGAACAGAACAAAAAATTCCAATATAGAGTTTGCCTTTCTTTTCCGGACTCTTATTAAAATGTTTTTCAAGAAATCAAGAGGAATATAACTCAATATTTAAAACAAGAATTAAAATGCATACTATACTAAAGTATAATTAGTTCAATTCTAAAGAAGCAGGATCTAACTTTGAGAAAAGAGGCCTTTGATAACCAGGGAAAGCAAATTCTTTTTTGATGAAGTCTTTCTTGTACACATGTATGAGTAATGTATATGAGTGCTTATTTCCACGTGAATCTGGCACAGTACATTAGATTGAAACATCAATTTGATTTAAGTTTAATGGACAAAGTCACAATGAACATGTTTTCTATCTAAGCTTATGTAATAAATGATCCCAACACATGGTATGAATTCTACCATTTGTAACAATCTTTCCTCCCCTCTTGAGGGGAGTAATGGAAAAATGCTCTGAGCTGCACATCAGTGAAGGTGAGTGACATCCACAAATAGCTGAAGTTGGGTGGCCCCAAAATGCCCTCCTTGTCACATCACAGTTAAGAGGCATTAAATGGGACACAGGTTAGTTACAATGAACCCCGGAGCCCCAGAGCTTTCCAACAGTTTCGGATTCGGAAAAAGCACAGACAACAGACAAGTCTCTGCTGGAAAACTCCTCGGCCTCTCTTCCTTAAAATTCTGGTCCCAAATTTCTCATGTTTCAAAAACCAAATCTTTTTCCTCCTCCAGACCTCTAGCCCATACAACATGACCACAGGGGGTTCACGGTTGTAAACGCACCCATGTTAAAAAAAAAAAAAAAAAAGCAAACAAATAAACACCACCCCAAAAAAATCTCTCAAGGGCTTTGGACGGGATTTCGCCTGGCGTTCAAAGAAAGCGTCGCGGGGAGACGCTCGCCCATCCGCACCCTCCACCCCGGGAAGAAGGAACCTGGAGGGCTGGGCTTCAACAGCCGCGCCCTGAGGCGGCGGGGGCGGGAGCGCGGCCAGCTCTGGAGGGGACGGGCGAGACGAAGCGAGCTTCTCCAGCTCCTCCGGGCCCGGGCCGAGGAAGCGCTTCGCTCCTGGCCTCTTAAGAAGACGTAGCTGCCTGCGCTCCACGAACCAGAAGAACCAAAACGCCCAGCGCCAGCGCCCAGCTCTCCGGGGCCCCCTGCCGCGTGACCCTCCGCCAGCTCCACCCCCGGGCCGGCCCCGCCCCACCTCCGTCCTCAGCTCCTACCCGCGGCGGGGCCTCGCTCGCCCACCTAGAGGCGCGGGGCGCGGAGCCGTTCTCGCGAGTCTTCCCGCCCCGCCCCCACCGCCGTCCCCGGGCTGACGTGTCGACCAGACCCCGGGGAAGCGGCCGCCCGCGCGCTCCTTCTGCGGCCTCTCTCTTACCGGGTGGTCCGCGCCAGAGCTGCTTCAGCAGTTTGGGCGGTGGCGGAAAGGGCGCCACCGCCGGGGTTCTGTGGCTTGAAAATCTGGCTTTGCCTCGTATTGCTTTTCTGTTTTGTTTCGACTTTTGGAATTTTCCCGCAGTCGCTCGGCAGTGGAGGCGCGCGCGCGCACGTGGCCGCAGTGCACCCTGGGGCCAGGCGGGCTGCCCCGCGCCCCGTGGCGGCGCGGGAAAATCCGGGCGAATCCGCGGCGCGCGGGGAGGGCGGGGCCGGCGGGCGGCTCCGGGCGGGGCGTCCCGACCGCGCGGGGTCGGGGGAGAAGGCCCGGCTGTTTAATCCGTCTGTTGACCAGTTGTTTCGAGATTTGGACTTTTTTTTTTTTTTTTTAAGAAAAATTGAGTGTTTGTCGCGGGGGTGAGACCTAAGCCGGGCCTGGAATAGGAATTTCCCGCTGCGGTGGCGCGAGCGGCGCGTGTCCCGCGGTGTGCGGGCGGTGGTCTCCCCGGTTCAGCGCGCTGCGCGCACCGCTTCGTTCACTGGAAAGCGGCGTGTGCTATAAGCCTCTATTCGTGTCGATAGTACTAGCTTGTCTTGGTGGGGGGTTTTTAATTCTTACACTTCGTAGTGAATGAAGGTTTTTCATAGACATTTAAATTGTCAACAGTAATAATCTGAGGAACCTAAACGTAAGCTTTAAAACTTTTTTAAGTCAATGCTTCGTGATGAAACTACATCTTCACGGGTGCTTTAGAAGATACTACAAGGCAGTGTCGGCAAGTGATAATATTCAGACTCTCAGCCTTCTATAATGAAGGAATACTCTTGTTGCCAAAGAAAAATTTGAATTCGGACGTTAGGAAGTTTACCAAGGTTATGCAGCTTGTAAGTGACAAGGTTAGTGTGTAGGTTAGTGGTAGCGACAATTGTTTTTCATTTACAGGGAGATAGAGAAGGGAACCGATCTAGAATTTGAGACATTGGCAGGATCTGCAACTGTGTTAGGGAATCAAGTGTTAAATCCATTCTTGAAAGTATTCCCTTCTAGCTGAAGGAGTCTGCTGTTTTGATGTGTGCATGGTTCACGGTGGGTAAATCCAAAGCAGAGGCTGTGTGGAGAGCAGTAGGCCGAGTGACGCTCATCGTGGCACCTTGGCCATAGGAAGAAAGTCGTTGTGTTTGTGGCGACAAATGTGAGCAAGTTCATATTTAAGTCTTGGATTTACCAGCAAAGGAGGCAGTTAAACCCTGTATTTCTTTAGAGAAAAAACCTATTTTGGTTCTCAGATTCCTTTACATATTTGCTGAAAAATCATATCTGGTGTTCTTAGTATTGGTAAGTGAGGTGTTGGCATATTGCAGTATTGTGCCTTTTTAATTCAGTGGTTAATGGAGTTGCTAGGCTCGTGCAACTTTAGAGTGGGTGAAAGGACATCATATTTAGGCCTAATTTAGACCTATATGGGTAACATCCAAATGTATATTTATGGGGACCTATAGACTCATCTTATTTGGCATCCATATGTATGCCACTATCCTAATACTTGAAGCAGTAATGAGATGATCACTTTGTAAAATGCCTCAAAAGTTTCCTGAGAAACAAATGGTTAGATAGGAATCCTATTTTTAATTGGCTCATAAAAAAGTGTGCGCCTCTAGATAAAGTTTTGGTTATAGTACAGAGTCCACTCACACTTAATAATGTGGCAAAAATGAAAAATGGCTTCTGTAGGTGGAAATTATTTCGTCCTTAGAAATAATTGGAATTAGGATCATTCTAATGGATTCCATCCATTAAAATCTTTACATTCCAGAGGGGAAAACACCACAGCTGAGGGCTGCAAAGTTCCTGACATTATCAAATCTTCCTTCAAAATTCAACAAACAAAATGAACTGTCTTAGATTCTGACCATTGTAGTAAGACTCATATTATCAGAATTAGACCAGACACCCACCTAGTTTCCAGCTCTCATTTGACGCCCTAACACTCAACACTGTCTTGTCCATGGCTCTGATAGTTGCCTCTGCTATCTCAACTGTGAATATTCAATGAGTGTTTATGAAGTCCCAGGCACTGGGCTGATTCCTTGGCCTGATTAGAAAATAATCTAATTCTTATGTGATCTTATGTGGTAGGTAACGTTCCAGTTTCACAGCTATAGAAACTGATGCACTGAGCGATCTTTACTGCTGACATGTTGTACCTTCAAATCCAGGTGCACTGACTGGTGCTTGTGCTTCTTACCACTAGCTACGCTCTTGCTCATGCCCCAGGCTGGGTACCAGACCATGTCCCAGGTCTTGGTGGGGTAGAAGTCGGGTGGGGAGTGATGTGACCCCAGAGGTTCATGCATGTTAATCACAACATTGCTTTTCTCTTAAAACATTCTGATTGAGGAAATCTATGTTGAATTGGAGAAAAAACAAAAATAATGTTTGTGCATAAATGCTTCAAGAAGTGGTGCTAGTAACAGGGAAAGTCTTTTATCTGCCACGCTGATACGGGGCAAGCACCAGAAATCAGGAAGCAGAAGGCTGCCAGAGGTGGAAATTAATGGAAAAAGGGAAATATATTATAACTGTTACCTAGTACCGCCCCTCCCCCCCATTGTGCTCACTCCCTAGGCTCTGCTGAAAGAATGCACCTTAGGAAGACATGTTTGTACTAATCACCCTACTCCCTGCCACAGCTACTTGAGCTAGGAATGGTAACTGACCCTTGCTGAACCAGTCAAGCTGTTGTTGGGGAGTTTTGGAATTGCAACACAGAGATTGTACCATGTCTACACCACAGGATCCAAACCCCATGCCAACCACAGTTACTAGGGGAAGAAAAAAGATAAGTAGCAAAGAAAGGTGGTTGGCAGAGAAAAGCAAAAAAGAAGTTGAAAGGCCATGTTATTCCATGAGGGACAGAGAGTAGCTGCCATTCCCAACTTTCTATTTTTAAGCCCAGTTTTAAGGCAAACCAACTATGCTTATTTTTTGTTCTTAGTTGTCCATGAGATTCTCCCATATCCTCACAACAGTCACCTCTTTACCTGTCCGGACATCAGTGAGTTTCCCTCCCTCACTGCAAAGCAAGCACTGACTAAGGCCCTGGAGGGGGCAGCTCTTCTTTACCTCACTGGGCAGTAGTACTTTGGCTGAGCCTAATTGATAAATTAATCAATGGCTGTCTACCCGAAGGCATGAAACATACAGGCTGTGTTGAAGACACAGATCCATCTGAGTAACCTGGAGTTGGGGAAAATCTTACAGGTCATTTATATAGTCCAGGAGTTCCCTAGATTGTGGATGCCTTGGGCCAGTAAAATGTCAATAGTATCAGAGGACTAACAGAGTTACCGACTTCTTATTTGGTCAATTAAAGACTTGAGGAGTAAAGAAATCTACCATCACTTCAATTTTTTTCAAAACATTTTTAACTTGGGGCCTGCCCAGTGGCGTAGTGGTTAAGTTCACACACTCTGCTTCCGTGGCCCAGGGTTCGCAGGTTCAGATCCTGGGCACCGACCTATACACTGCTCATCAAGCCCTACTGTGGCGGCATCCCACATACAAAATAGAGCAAGATTGGCAGAGATGTTAGCTCAGGGCCAATCTTCCTCCCACTCAAAAAAAAAGTTTTTTTAACTTTAAGAAAAGATGGTAGAGAAGTCTCTAAGAACAGTCTTGTAAATTGAATAAATTTTGCTCCACAAAAAACTCATCATTGTCCTTATTAGTCTCATTTTACCACTTCCCCTCTCGTTAGTGTGAGAACACTGCTTTTACTTAGCATGTCAATGTGCCCAATAAAAAAAAAGACTACATTTCGGGGCCGGCTCCGTGGCCGAGTGGTTAAGTTCGCGCGCTCTGCTGCGGCGGCCCAGGGTTCGGATCCTGGGCGTGGACATGGCACCACTCGTCAGGCCACGTAGAGGCGGTGTCCCACATCCCTCAACTAGAAGGACCTGCAACTAAGATATACAACTATGTACGGGGGGTGGGGGGGGGGTGGTTTGGGGAGAGAAAGCAGAAAAAAAAATTGGCAACAGTTGTTAGCCCAGGTGCCAATCTTTAAAAAATAAATAATAATAATAATAAAAGAAGACTACATTTCCCAGACTTCCTTGCTATTAGGGGTGGCCATGTCACTAAGTTGCAGCCAGTGAGAGATAAGTGGAAGCTCTTGGGTGGGACTTTCAAAAAGTCTTGTTAAAAGGTAGAAAGACAATAGACAAGGAGTTTTTCAGCCTTTCCCTCTTTCTCCTGCTTCCTACCTAGTGTAAGGGCAGGATGGCTGGAGTTCCAGTCATCCTGGACGATAAGATACTCTCAAGGATGATGGTTATGGAATAGGGATGGCAGAGCAAAAGAAATAGAAGGACTTTGGGTCCTTAGTAATCATGGGAGTCAATAAATGAGGGCTGGCCCTGTGGCTGAGTGGTTAAGTTCCTGCGCTCTGCTTTGGCAGCCCAGGGTTTCACCAGTTTAGATCCTGGACGTGGACCTAGCACTGCTTATCAAGCCATGCTGAGGCAGCATCCCATGTAGCAAAGCCAGAAGGACCTACAACGATGTACTGGGGGGCCCTGGGGAGAAGAAGAAAAAAAAAAAGAAGATTGGCAACAGATGTTAGCTCAGGTGTCAATCTTTTAAAAAAAAAAGATCTGTTTTGTTTCGACTACTATTATTTTAGATCTCTGTTGCTAGCAGCTGAACTCAGCTGAGGCACTATGGTAGGGTCTGGGGTTACTGTGGTAAAAAAGGAAAAAAATATTCTCAGCTCCTGTGAAGCTTAGTTTAGTGAAGGGAATCTTTAGTTAATCAACATCCTGTGTTCCAGCAGCATAGATAGATACATACATAGTTGTTGAAATGAGATGAACTCAAGAGAGAAGCAAGTTTCATTAAAAAGGGGAAGCGGGGTGAGGGGAACTAACCCATACCAAGGGACGTGAGTCAGGAGACTCTTACCCACTTACTAGAATTCTGTGAACGTTGTAGCATGGAGAAACAACTCTGTCATTGTGCAATATCTGAAACAGAATTCCCAGAAAACAAAATCTGGCCTTTTTCATTGAGCAATGAGACACTCTGTTTCAAAAAAATATATTAAGGCAGTTTTAGTCTGATTTTCTTTAGTTCAGTAAAAAATGCATTCCTATTTAGAGTATGCATTCCCACCAACTGCAGTATGTTGTAACTAATAGAGCACATTTTTATCGCCCAAAAAAGT